AGCTCTCAGTCTTACAATATGTCTCTATTTCCTTCCAAAGACATAAAAAGGTGGAAAATACTTACTACTTTCCTTATCCATTAGGAATATTAGGTAGAGCCCTCAATTTGAAATGTGCTGGATACTTGATTGCATACATCAATACTTAAGGTTCCATCTTTCAAGTAGCTGTTAATCTTTTATATTGCTATTACTACTGCACAAATTTCTGTATAATCAAATTTAAATCAAAGCAGAGGGCTAGATATTCTGAATGATAGAATACAATCTTACACCTAGGAGCTATAAATTCCTTCACTAAGCAAGGTCTAGTTATTTGCCTGAGAATAATTAAATCAGTACATCTTCAAGGCTCTTTTACTACTTCATCATCTAGTTTCTAATGCAGATACTGACAGAATGGAAAAACCATAAGATGCTGATGAAAGACTTATTACCCAAAGAGCATTTCCCTGCAGTGACTGAAAAACCACTAACTGATGACACTATTTTAAAAGGTGCCAACAGTAGCTGATGGAGAGGCTGATATATTTACAGCACAAATGAGTAAATTGTAAGAGGATAAACAAACAAGAAGCTGCAAAATGTATCATTCAAGTGCATTGTTCAGACTGGTGCAAAATAACAAATTTTAAATTTTCACCTAATAATAAACATTTATCCTGTAGCTGTCAGAAAAAACACCCAAACACAGAGAATAATCATGGTTGCCAGTATTAAGACAAAAGTATGTGTGGTAATACATGTTTTGTTTCCTGCCAAGGCTTGCCAGAGCAACTATTCTGCTCTGAAAGATGCAGGACAAGTGGAACAGTCTGTCAGCAGTATTCTGCACTACTCTGGCTTAGAAGAACAGTATAATAACACAGTCCATTTCCAGCAGTAAAGGAGGAGCATCAAATGTGAACTTCGGGAGGCCCTCTCTCACAGTATGACACCAAATCTTGGCTTTAGGCAGGCATATTTTCCCACACATACACACACATCAGCCAGATTTCACCAGCCACTGCAGTAAGGCCATAGTGTTCCCAGACATCAGTCTATCCACCTCCCACCTTATCCAGTCGGATAGTGCTAGTATCCACCTTTACTACTACACACTTTATAGTAAGTACCCCATATGATCCCTGTTGAAACCAGCTTCATGATCAGTATTGAGAAAAAAAAACAAACAGAAAAAATTTTACCATAAACCAGGGAAGAGTCCTAAGTGTAACCAGAAGAGCATCACAAACACTTTATCACTTTAAAGTGATACTTTAAATACTTTAAACTAATGTATGATTACCTTATTTTTGTGTTATTTAATTATAATATAAAGGATAAATAATTGATTTTTAACATTCAGAAGCCATTAAAACAGCTCTGTCCTAAATATGATCCCCATTCATTAACTAAGATGAATGAAAGAAAAGTTATCACTTCTTTGCTGAAACACAAACAAGGTATTCATCAAAGTCATTATGTTGACACTGAAATCACACATCCATAGCATAAGGTCTGATCCTGCTGTCAGACTTGTATGGGTGGAAGTTTGACTTCTGGACATTCCTATTAGTGGAAAGATCTTAGACAGTTATAGTTGAACTAAATATTTGGAAAAATAATGAAATGAATACAGAGTTGACCTCAAATTAGCACCATCTATAAGTGGATTTGAGTGCACAGAGGTAACAGCTCCAAAAATGTTGATTTTCTTATGAAGTGGAAAGAAAGAGTTTGAACTTTCTCTGCTAAGTTTGCCTGTGCACAGAGGTCTTCTATAATATAAATTTAAATACACAATCTGTTTTATAATGTTTTCCATCATCTCTCTTCTCCATATGTTCTCCCACTAGGAATCTAATGAGTTCTACACATGAGGGATGACAAGGGAATATGCCTGAGAAATAATTCCAGCAATTACAGCATATGGAGGCATTGGTTTTGAGTCACTTTTGCCATGAACATTAGACAGAGCATCTGGGATCAAATTCTGTCTACCTGCCTATGGACATTAGCAAAATCATCATCTCCCATTTGTAAATTCTGCTGAGGTAATCTGCCATACAGAGAGGACCATTTCATCAGCTTTATGATCAGAGAGCATATTGAAACACAGTCCATTTATAGTTAGGAAAAAATGCTTCTCTTTAGAAAGAATAGTTTAAATTGGAAACTCTTTAAAGTTAAAATCACAGAAACACTTCATCTCCCTCTCTTCTCTCCAAGAACTGCTAACTCACGTGTTCAGTTCCAAGCCACAATGTATTAAAAATCTTTTCTCATCACTACTAAAGTTTTGTAAGAACTGTCTGGATCCCAGGAAAAGAGGAAATGACCAAAGAAAAACAGAGAGAACAACAACGACAAAGAGACACAAACCCTAAATCAGGAATAGGAAGGGTTCTCCACACCCAAATTGGACAAGGTATTCATAATTAATCGTAAAGAGAGAAACAGACTGAAAAAACTCCTTTACGTGGGGATATAGCGACTAAAATAAGTAGTGTATATTTGGTAAATTCTGGATATCAGATTTAAATACTAAGACATAGGGCTAGAGAATTCAAGTACAGTTTCTGTCACGTTTGTTATGACAGTAAGGAGAAAAGACATCAAGAGGTTCAACCCATGTGCTAAATACAGGGTAAATTTTCAACTCCATGCATTCCTCATAATCAAGAAAAATTTCTCAGCAATGTGAGTAACATAAGTATTTTTATAGGGTTTTTTTCCCAACTGTGCAGTTGAAACAGTGAAAGCAAAGCCATAAATCCCAAACCACAGTGTCCTTAGGTTACTTCAGTGTTTTAGGTGGGGAAACAAGAATGTCCCTGCTATTATAGATGATCTAAACTGAATTTTACAGATATGAATGTAAACATAATTTAAAGAGCTAATATAGAACTTTTACAGTTAGGGTTACATATAAGCAATAATATTTCTATTACACAAACTATTTATTTCATTCAGTTGTGTAATAAACTGGTTTTCGGAACTGAAAGCCAGATATATTTCAAGTCTTTCAATCCTTTTAGATAAAAAAATAATATTGATAGAATTAGTGATATTTATTCAAGAGAATCTACTACCAAGGAATAACTGGATATCACTTTCCATTGCCACACTGAATTACCTGTATACTAGCAAGGAGCAAGAGAAAGTAGAGCTCAACTTCAGGATTCTGACTGTACCCCAGTGCTCACATGCTGGATTCCTTTCCCTAGAATCTGCATCTCTGGCTGTGAAACCACACTACAATGGCTTTGACTAGTCTGGCATCCCACTCACAGCACTCTGAGAAAGAACTGTCATTCTCTTATGCAAGAGTTTCCCATGTCACCATTAGTGGCCCTTCTGCCAGATGGTCTTAAGTTATTTTTGGATTAAGAGACATTGGCAACACTTGTAATCCTGCAAATGTGTCAAAAAAAGTTGTGGGAAATTCAGCCTATTCATACACTACCTCTTCTAATCACCACATAAGCAGTACGGATGAATACAGAAGATACAAAAACAACCACTAAAATATGTGCAATGACTCTCTGTAAAGTGGTATCAGAAAGTTACATAACCTCTTCCAGAAACAAGATCAAAAATGTAATCTGGAAATATTTTCTTATTCTATGAAATAAACAGAAAAGTTTATTAGGTTACAAACTGCACTATAAAGACAACACAAAGTGATTAGGTAACTCTTATTATTCAATACCACTAAATCCTTGAAAAATCATTTAATGCCATGTGATTGTTCAGGTGGGACATTTTTTGATAGAGACCTATCTCACTATTGGCAAAAAGAAACTAGAGATTAAGGCAATACTTCTTGTACAAACCAAAACTGTTCTCTCTTTCCAGTATCTTTGCCAATATCTTGGTTAACCACAGATGTGTAAAATTCGAGGCATGTAGGAGGAGGCAGCAAATCAACAGATAAAGATGCCAATCACATATTTCTGTTTTGTTTTTACAGAGTTTCATGCATTACCTGGAAAGTATAAAAGCCAGCTGTACAATTATAATGAGCAAGAATTCCCTGCATATATTTTTATGAAACATAAAAAAATAAAATTCTATATGGCAGATTTTTAGTTTCAAAACAAATGTATCTGACGCACTCTGTCAAAACAACTGCACTGGTTTGGTGAAATACTGAAACGCTACACCAGTAACATTCTTGAGCAGAGCTGAAGGAGCCAAGATTTAAAAGATATTGGACAAATAGGAAAATTTAAAGGATATAGCACAATAGGTGAATTTGTAGGTAGTAACAGTGCAGCAGTGTTGTTTTAAAGGTTAGCATTCACTTATGACCAACAAACTACATACCACCAGGATCTAGACTTGAATGTTTTTTAAGTTCTATTTTAGATTTATTAGATCGGAATTGAAATTATTTTTCATTAAAATTCATATCAGGATTTCCTTTATGTTTTGTTGAACTGATCGAAGACATTTAATTTTGAAAGGTATGAGAAAACAGTGATTTTGCTTTCCCTCTCCATGTAATTCCACTTAGAACTGCAGAAAAGGAATGTATATTCTGCAGTTCAGAGTTCCTGATGATTACTGAATTCAAAGGGTAACACTGATTTCCCTCTGCTCATACTAACTGATCATTTTTGTAACCAGATGAAATAATCTAGGAAGTAGTATATACAGAACAAATGAGTAATTGAAGCAAGATTCATTCTCACACGCCTGCAATATGAATGCCCGTAGCTGATCTAGTCACCTATACTCAATTTTCAAAGGCAGCACTAAACCAGCACTGTGGATAGCTGAACTGTGGTTCCCAGCTTCCTTCCCTTTCAAAAAGGACCTTTAAATATGATAGGAGATATCCCCAGCTCTACTAAAGAAATATAACACTTTAGATTCTTATTCATGAAAAAATTATTTTTTCCATGGATAAACAGATCTCCAAAGTGCACATCCATACAGGGAACTCTATTTTATATTACAATTTTATTCACTTACTATGAATAGTCACAACATTAACTACTGCAGATAATCTATTCAATATATTTGAAAATCCATTTATTTTTATTTATTGATATGCATGTGTTACACTTGTATATAATACAGTACTTTCAGCATTGGTTTAAGAACAAGGAAACAAAGAAAACATATATTTAGAAGCATGATATAGATTTTTGGCCAAAAAGAGGCCATATTCAAACTCTACAAAACAGCACATTTATATTTTGCACTGTCCCAGACAATCTCTTTAAGATGCTACCTTCTGTCCAGAACTTGTTAGCACAAATCCATACAATACTAATCCATTCTAAAATACTGATATACCTAGCTGCTGCTACAGTTTATTCTAATTAAATTTTAATCAGAAAATAAGATTTTTTCCTGCCAACAATTTTTTATTACTTCTCAGCAGAATGACAGAATATACTTCTCAATTTTATTCCCAACAGTCATTTATTTTATTTAAGCTCTCCTGTGCAGTAATACAGCAGAGGTAATCAAATGGTTTTGGAACAGCAGGGGCTACTGTGACAGGCAGAGCACTCCAGGGTGTTCATCTATCATGGAACCTAATGTATAACTAAACTAACCATGTCAATGGCTTGTAATGATAAAATATTTTCCCTCTTCTGTTTTATGTTGTTGTTTGTTTGTTTGTTTGTTTTTGCAAGTCTGGTAACCACTCATAAGCTTACCCCTATGTATTTTTTACTACCACTGTGTGTGTGGCTTTCAATTCACCAAAGCATAAAGTCAAAATTCCCTTACCCTCTCTGGTCAGCTTGTTTATGCAGTGTTCCTAAAAGGAACTGCCAAATTTCTGTTGTATCAACAGTACAGATGGTACAATATATATTAAATGGAGCATAAAATTATACATTCTGTAATAACTTAGAAAAAAGCTCAGAGATGCTTAAGGCCTTTAAATATTGAGGATTTTTTTCATGTAACAGCACATTACAAAGTTCAAAAATTGCTACCAAAAAAAAAAAAGAAATTTTGGAAAGGATCAGATCTGAATTGGATGACTGTAAGCAAGCAAAATACTCATGAAGTGTAAATCTGGGAGGGCACTAAGACTTTTTTTCGTTTATAGCAAACAGACTAAACAGATATCTACATAAGCAACCATCAGTACTTAGGTTCAAGCAAGAGATTTTATTTTTTAATAAAAAGACAAAATTCTGAATGATTACCATCCAATTTCATAATTGTAAAACTCATTTACATCCCTGCCTACCTTTACAAAAAAGAGATGAAATACTGTCATTGACTGATTACCATGAACTTAAATGAATTAAAGGTTAGGAAAGTAAAGTACATATCAGGAACACCCATCTCCTTCAAACTAAATGCAAATGTTTATCTTATAGGTATAAAATGCTTTATAATAGAGGTGGTAATTGAGTTTTGACCACTACTTTTTTTAACTGTTAAGCTGCAGTAGTTGGTTAGCCTTAGGAAAACATGTCAACCTGACTATACAATCTAATATGACTGGTATATTCAGATAACTATTACTTGTCAACAATAATTATTAACAATGGATATATAATTCCATTCCTATAACAAAAGTAACTTCAAGGTGTTAAAATATGTACCTTTCAGAGCTGCAAGATTAGAACACAAATAAAAATGCCTAAAACTGCGCCATGCCAGAGGACCATTTCTGCAACAGAAATTTAATTAAAGCAGTGTGCAGTCCCACCAGTAATCTGAAAATGGACCAGGGATCATTTTAGAGGGAAGGATCCAATACATTTTGGAGGTCGACTTCATAAAGATGAAAAGCTACTGGTCTGCAACGAAGAACTGCTTTTCTGCACCTTTAGAGTATCAGCGTGTGATTACAGCTGCAAATTCCTTAGCAAGTACAATTTTACAAGTGTACACAGTTCAATCAGTTGAAATCTTTGTGACACAGAAGTTCAAAACGACTTTCCAGTAGTTTTGATCTCAAGGCTGTTGCTGATTGCAAGCCAGGTTCTCATTGAAACAATTGATTCTGAAGGATACACCCCAGCAGTATAAAATTTCACTTCAAGGATTGCCTGGAAGAATGAAATTCCCACATGTTGTATTTAAGGTTATCAGCCTTGAGACTGACTTGATTTGTCTTTAGCTATCGGGTTACCTGTAAAGAAAAAGAAAATCAGAAAATCAAAACTGGACATAGTGAATCTACTTCCAAAGTACTGGAAATTGAGACTGTAATGAGAGATCTCTGTCCAGCAAAGAGCTTTCAATTGTTTTTAAAATAGGTGAATAATCCCACATGGTATTAGATGGCATTGCTCCCCAAACTAAATTGTATGTTTAAGTGTTTTGTCGGAATTGGATCTGACAAGGAGAAATCAAAATGTGACCATGCCTAAAAATACAATAAAAGAATTTGAAGTTCTCAAATTAACAACCCACAATTTTTTGTTTTCTGTTATTCTCTTTTTTATTGTTAAAACTTCTCTACAGTAACTACTATGCTTTTAAAAATGTTAGCCATTGCATATAACAGTGGATGATACAGGAGATGTATTTTTCCATTCTTTGCATTCTTCTTTACAGCACAATCATAAAATCATTTAGGTTCTAAAAGGCAATGTCCTGTTAAAGGCTCAGTGCACCTCAGCAAATAATAATTACTTAGTGGAGAAACAGGACAAAAATCATTCATACATTAACAAGAGAGACAGAGATCCTGTTATTCACAAGGTACAAAATTACCAAGGATTTAATTTATAGTGGTTTCACCCAGCCTAACATGAAACAAGAGTGAAACAGAAGGACCACAGAGAAAGAGTGGGAGACAAAGCATTTCACAGTAATTGGAATTTCCCTCTGTCTGATTTGGATTTTAAACATTAAAAGAAAAAAACCCTGTCATATCAAACAAATGTAACTTTGAGGAATATTTCTGCTGTGTCAGTGGATACAATTAATCACCATGTAACATTTTAATATCAAATTGTGTCAGGTGTCAACTTCCCAGTTCTTGAAGAACAACTTATTGGAATGGTCACAACAACACTTTATGACATTGAGGGGCATATGCTTCTCATTTTGATCACAGAGAGAAGGGTCATGCTCCTTAATGATGAAACATTCTTTTGCCCTCAGCAAAACTGTTTGCATACAGCTCTTGTCAGCTATGCAGAGCATAAATTTAGAACAGAATACTAAAAAGACTTCGAGGAGTTCATTGCTTCAGTTTGCTTTCTCTATCAAGTTGTTTCTAGGAATTGCACTTAAGGCAATAATAAAATCGTGCTTTGTGATTTTTATGATACATGGGCTTATTCATTATACTGCTCTTATTTTACTTTATTCTCGTTGTAGGAAACAGCCCCCTGTGTCCCCTTCTACAGTGGAAGATTTGACAAAAATAATAAAGAATTAATTTAAAAGTCAGGCAAAATATTTCAGTGCCCTGCGACAAAGCTCAAAAGGCTGATGCAGCATCTTATTGTTATTTATGTTTTGCTTTATTGTAACAAGCTGGAATTTTACTCATGGAACCAGGTGCTACTGAGCTACAGAATGTAAAATACACATCTTCTGATCTTATCCACAGGTGGATTTTTATTAGCTTCACTTGCGATACAGGTCTCTCTCTCTCTCTCTCTCTCTCTCTCTCTATCCAGTAAAGAGCCACTAAGGCAAATAAGGGACAGGAGCTTCTTCATATGAGGAAAGGCTGTTCAGCTGAACTGCCACTGTTCAGCCTGGAGAAGAGGAGGCTGAGGGCTCAAATACAAGAAGAGAGGGTGCTAAGAAATTGGAGCCACACTGTTTTCACGTGGTGCCTGATGGTGCCACACCGTTTTCAAGTGGTGCATTTCTGCCTGACGGCAGAAGCGGCAATGAGAACAAATCAAAACACAGGAGGTTCACTCTCAGGAAAAACTTTTTTACTGTGAGCATGACTGAGCACTAGCACAGGTTGCCCAGGGAAGTTCTCCATTCTTGAAGATATTCAAAAGCTGTCTGGTCCTGGGCAACTGGCTCAAGGTGGCTCTGCTTGAGCAAGGGGGTTGGATTTCCACAGTTCCCTTCCAAACTCATCTATCCTGTGATGTATTATTCTTATTACATCCACCTCTGCCAATGCTTTGGCTAAGGTGATAAACTGCAGCTAGCAAAAAGAGTATATATATATATCAGTTACACAGCTTCTTGTAAGTGCAAATGTGTTCTCTTCAGTCACAAAGAAACTCAGTAAAATCTCCAGGCCTATCTGCTCCCCCATCTAGCTCTACAACCCTGTGGTGAAAATATTGCTACAAAAGCAACATACACTGTCTCATAGATGAAACAGGTGATATAAAGAAGAAAAAGCAGATAGCCATTCAAATCTCTGCATTATAATAAGTGACTAATCATATACAAACATCATTTTGCTTATACAGACTGTACAGGAAGTCAGACTGGATGTTCTTAGTTTTTACATTACATGACTGGAGTTTTTAACAGCTTTCCCCTGCCAGAATTTTTATTATTCCACATGGCCTCTTTTTTTTTTTTTTTTTTTTTTTTTTGTTCTGTTAACCACCAGGTCACACAGCGCTGCTCTGAGTAACACATATAGTGGTCTACATTTGCCTCTAAGTGAGATGATAATACTTGTTATGTGCAAGCACAGATTACACATTAACATTAATGGAAGTTATATATCCACACACCATACACATTTGGGAGTGAATCAACCTCTCGGTTGGTAAAGGCAGTTTCATAAAGAAGCAATAAAATTTTAGCTAATACTTAGTGATAGTATTCCCAGAAATGCTTAATTTTGGATATAGTAAAAGCTATTTGGTTTAAGTGTCTGGGAAGTAAGGTAGTAAGGTATTGTGCCAAAGGCCTTTGTAGAAAAGGGGGACTAATAATGGTATGTGTCTTCTCTTTAAAATCCTAAGAAAACAGTAACACCCTGAATAGATGCAAATCAAGTCTAATCAAGTTTTCAGTTAATAATTATTATATATGGAGAATTAACAATACAAATAAAAAAAGTACATGAAACCTTTAGCATCCTAGGTGTTGATCTGAATTAATTTGTTCATTTTTGGAACATAATTACTCTTTTTATGCTAATAAAATTTTTCACATAGTTGTTATATAATAAATACACTACATAAGACTCTCTTCACTTTCCTATCCTAAATATGTAATTAGAGTATAATTACTCTGCAGTTGCAGACTTTTTAATTTAAATTAGTGAGTGGTTGCTGTAAATTGGCTGCAACTGTATGTGACCTCACATTTTTATTATAACACAACAGTATATATGCACATAAATGAAGCTGAAGCTTTCCACATTCTTCTGCTCACAAAATGTTCAGAACAAACTCAACCTTCGGGTAGAACATTTTTTCCAGGGTAACCCAGAATGGACAGGAGATGAAAAGACCTCAAGGCATCACCTTAGAAAAGCTACCAACTCAAGAAATTTTTTTGGACAGTTTCCATTCCAATGTTATTCACAATGGGTGAAAAATGTCCTCACTTGTGAAAGCTGCACAGTGGATGAATACATCAGACAATACTGTCTATTTCACAAAAATAGTTTCCCAATAAAAATCCAGACAGGTACTTTTACTCAACACTTCCTTCTCCCATAGAAGAGGAAGGGAGAAAAAATCAAGACTATAGGATGTAAAGATGACTGAATGTATATTCCCTGAATAGTAAAAACACTTTTCCCTACTTTCATGCACCAAAGCATCAAAGAACCACAATTAGTTATAGTTCAAATCTTCTGTTTCTTCAAAGAAGAAACTAACTAATAATTTGCTAAGTACAAAAGAGTTTATACATGCAAATGAGGCACATAATTAATGATTATTTAATAGTGTTAGGAGAAAATAGATACCAATATATGGTATATCGAAACTAAGTGTGTGCTATAACATTTCATAACAAAATTTTGTGCATTACAACTTTTTGACTGGCAGCTCTTTGAATTTTTTCTATATTTATTGTAAACCATACATAAAATCTATATTGAAAACTGGCTCTTGAGTTTGCAAAGTCAAGTACTTGAAAGTTAGCAAAATGCTTTTTTATGTGTGTCCTTGCAACTGCAATTCTATCTCTTTTTCATCATGCACAGTAAAGAGTGGGTAAGAAGAGTTGGAGGGAAGTCTATAATAATGTCGTCAGGACTGTGTATTAATGAAAATGCAGAAAGCGGTAAATTTTTAAGCCAATGTTTCATCACTCCATAGATGGGAAGAATGATGGACCCTCTGTTCAAGATTTTCTCCAAAGAAACAGAAAGAACTTAGTACTTGGAGGTTTTCTTTTTAACTAGGACTGTTCCATCAACCATATAGGATTGTGTGTGGTCACAACTTGTGTCATCTGAGCATACTAAAGCTATCTTTTTCTCCCTTTTTTCTTTCTTGAGACACATAAACCAGAGAAAGGAAATTATTCTTTGTAAAAGCTATTAATAGCACAACCTGAGCTAAGTGGAATTTCATGAGACAAAGAAAAGCCATCTTGGCACCCCTAGCATTCTTCTCTAAAATATTAAAGACCTGTGGGAAACAAAAATGGTATGGAGATTTCAATTAAAATTAAAAAGGTGCTCACAAATTTATTTAATGAACAACATGAGATGAGCTAAGTACAGGGAATGCCACAAGAATCCCTTAAATAAGTGCTTAAGAAAAGAGGTCTAAGGAATGGCTTGAAGAAATGCCTAGCTGTGGATTGTCCTCCAAGTCATAGAGATAAGACAGGGATCCCATACCAAAACAGCCTTATTTGTATGCAATATTTTTCCATCCATTTTGTGTCCTTATTGCTGTATTCTTTCTTAAAATGTATGTAAAACACCACAAAAAATTAATAAATTGGTCAATGAAGTGATTCTTTAGCAAATGCAATGAACTTGAGAGGGCTATATCAGTCATATTTTTTCATAACATCAATAACTTTGTTTTGGTAGTGAAAACTTAATACAAATATTACAATGCAGAAACAGAAGGGCCCATATAACCAGAAACAAACATCTGCTAATGTATTTCTCCCCTTATGCCCTCTGAGAATGAGGCTGGGGTTGGAAATGAATCTTTTGAACAGATGGAAGCACACTATTTCCTGGAATTTCAAAATTCATACAGTGTTTTTGCCATGTACTATCATTCACACGTGGCTTATGAAAACAAATGACAGAGTGCATTGCCACTTGTTCATTTACATTCAATGAAACCACATAACTTGTAATCTTGGAAAATGCTTCTGTTCTAACACTACTATCTTGTACCAGTGATAATGTTAACAAAGACAGGTTCACAACTTTCTGACAGCTGGAGAATCACGTAATTTATTTTCTAATGAATTAGGGAAACTGGACAAAAAGGTGTTAAGGGCCTTTCTGCAATAGGGCTCCTGTATGCATGCGCACTCAACAGCAGGTAGGTGTAGATTTGAGTGTTTATGCTAGATAACTAAGCTTCTGGAGAGATGAGGAACCATTTCAAAAGTCTGAGAAATATTAAGGTGACCCAAGCCCGTTTCAAAGGACCTGCAGTAGAGAAGCATGAATTAGGAAACAGGCCCTTGTTTCAGTCTTACAGATGGTTATTTGACTTGGGCGTGGGCCAAAAGGCAAAATTTAAGTGTTTTGTGAGCAGTCTGGAAAACAGATATTTGACGATAACTCTATGGATTCAATTACCTTTAGTGAAAGTTACATTATTGGAAGACAATTTTTCAAATCATGCAATGTTTCATTCCTGCTTATAAAACTTTGGCCCTACCTAAAATTTTATATCAAGCCTCAAGAGCTTTAAATTGTTCACTTAGCTTTACTTTAGGCACTGCAGTATGTAAAGTATTAGTCTAAACATGTTCCCAAGTCTGTAATGGAGCAGTCTAGAATTCCAGATTCTCAGGCCTGTCCTTCAGCAAACAAGATTAGCTCATTTTATTAATGAACATCACCGAGTACACTTCAATGGTTCAAAAGTTTCACATGTCTTTGATAATCAAAGACTCCAAAACTTCTTTATTCTTTCATACTTTTACTGCATTGTGTTTAATCAGAACTGTATTCATGACAATTCTTGCGCTTAGGACCTTTCATTATAAAGAGAGAAACATTTTGAAAACTCATATCATACAATGTTATTTGAAATATAACTTTGTATTCTATCGCGGGTGGGGTTTAGTCCTTTGTTTTCTCATTGCTCTTAATGATTTCACCAGGAGACTTTTAGTGATAAAGTGAAGATCTAGACAATTAGTCTTAAAAATTGTAATTGAAGCTAAAAGGTTTTGGAAACCTTTCACATGTAAACTGAGCTTTCTCTTGGCTTCAAATCTGAAAGCTAGGACTAGAAAAATAGGTAAAGGAAAAATACTTTAGAGCATGGCATATGTTCCTATGTAAATGTTCATATGTAAATGACAAAGTTCTTCATCTTTAGCATGGTTTTAAGACTAAACAGACAAAATCTAGCATATTTTAGCAATACAGTGAAAATAGCCCTTTCTTCACTTTTTCTGAAATTAGGTAATCCAGTATGGGATATTGAGCTTTCAGCTACAAAGGCAACACCAGACTGAATGTATCAAGATGGACTTCCTCTCTAAGTGCTGTTCTCCAGAGCATTTGTTGTTTTCCCATGAGAGTGACTAACTTGAGTGACTGGGTCAACCTTTGAAAGTACTGAGGGAAGAAAGATATTTTAAGGCTCCCAGAAGCATCTGACACACTGAGGCTGCTCAGGAGCACAGCACAGAGTCTCTCCAACCACCCTCCTGAAGCTCTGCCTGAATAAGCCACAATTCCTCGGTGTCTGCAGCACGCTGCACAACTACAGTGAGGAGTAAGGTACAACAATTCCTGTTAATACTGTGTAAACCTGTATTTGTACACACCTGCTGCTCTGTGAGTAATAAACGAGGGCTGGAACACATTTTCTGGAGTGGTTTGACTCTTTATTCCTCAACGAACGTTCTGGCCCTTCCTTAGAATCCGACCAAGACTAGGATTCATCACAACTAGTGCTCCAACATGGAGCCAAATATTTTTTGTGTGGAAAAAACAAATATTGTCATCAGGCACAGCAGAAACCTCCTTTCTCTACTTCTCCATTCGGACTTGAGGAGTTTTACACGTTTGCCTAAGAAACAAACACATGTCAACTAGTACACTCTTATGACATTAGTTATACAGAAAACAAAACTGGGATAAATAGAAACTTTTAAATTACAAGGAAAAGTCCAAAATAACAGGAAAAAAACATTTCAGAATCAGAGCAAATTCTTTTATGAAAAGTGCATGGTCTTAAAAATATCCAAACGTATTCAAATTCAAACTCTTATTTGTCATCAAAAAGCAATAGAAACTTATATATTAGACTCATGTTTGAAAGTATATCAGAAATATTTAAGTATGACAAAACAGTAATTGAAAAGTTCTTTGAGAATAAGTCCATGGATAGACCTGTAATAAAGAAAAGAGTCATGAACTCAGAATACAATTCCTTTAAAATGAAAGACATGAGTGTGTTCTTATAATAAATGTTTAAAGTAAAAGTGAATCAAACCAAAACAAATGGGAAAAAAACCGAACCAAAAAAAACCCCAAAAGTTTAGTCTGAACTGAGGAGAACTTTACTACAGACATTTCTACAGTTAGAAGGTTACAGGAAACACCATAAAATAACAGATGACACATTTCAAAAGACAATATTCAATTCAGACAGATACTTCCTTATCTAGATAGTTGAGGTAGATTTTGGACTGCTGATAATGATTGCTTCTGAAAAGGGTTGCATAGAATCTCAAAAGATCACCAAAATTTCTTTAAGTTTCTTCTTTTTTTTTTTTTCTTTAGGATTTTTAACTTAAATATCATGTTGCAGGATCATTAGAAATATACACTACAAGATTAAACTCATAGCTTTAATAACTTCTTGCTGAAATAAAATGTCTAAACATTTAAATGCTAGGAAACAAATGAATACAGTTCTGTTTTCATATTTCCTTGAACTGGATAGTTTACAAAATAAAATTAATTGGTACAGCTCACTGGGACAATTGTAATAGTGAATAGTTGATGAAGACATATGAGTTATGTCAAGGCTAAATTCAATTCATTAGTCTTTCCAATGTGCTTCATTATTATTGTCTTCCAAAAGGTTATGCCACTACAATGCACATACCTTAACTTTCTCAATGTTTCTGTAACTCAGCAGAGAAATTAAGTTTATGGTAGAATTGTTTTAATTTAACAAAATATTTCCTTTGCAGACAAGAGTTTTATATTAAAAGAAGACTTAAACATAAACCTTATTTTACTTTCTGTAACAGATAATAACTGTAGCAATTCAGACAAGGATATATCCTCTTGAGGTTTTTGCAGTGATCGCAACTCCATAGAGGGACTGCAGCATGGCGGCATTAAAGACTGCAAGACAATTAATTAAATAAATGAAATTTACTTCTATACCACTTATTCTACCTCATCATCCCAAGTGGGAGATAAAACAACCTCCTTCCTTTCTCCATATGAGGAAACTGAAGCATAATAAAGAGTCGTGCTCCTCTTTCAACTGTAAGAAAGTAAAAGGAGATGGAGGGATGGGAACAGAGTCCATCTGGTTTTGGCTTTATCTGACTTCACTTACCTACAAAAAAGCCTAGACTTGTTTTTGTTTGGAAAGGAAAACCTATAACAAACTTTGTTTATATTTTAAATATGAAAAAGCAAAACAAATTAAAAAGAAATACAAAACCAGCCTTGCTTTAAAACTAGATTGAGGTTTAAAATTGCCTTCCAGGTACAAAGGATTTTCATCTTTTAATGTATTTCCCCAGAAATTGGGTAAGATTGAACTTCACATTATTCCCACTAAAAAACTCAGGCATTCTAAATTAATCATGTCTGATATCTTTTACGTCTTCAAATGTTTATGCTGTGGGTATTTTTTCCTAGGATTTTGAGTGGAGAGTAACAAGCTATGTGGAGAAGACCAAAATAGAAATGTAAATTATTTCCTTACCTGTAATTTTATCTTCTATATAAGGGTACCTGCTGCTCTGTTAGTGCAGTACTGATGTGTTTTCTGCCTTTGTCCCAAGCTTCAGAGATCCCTCTGGTGATTTTTCCCCACTTGCTTACCAGTTTCCGCTGCTGGCATTTTGAGGGAGTGGACTCACATTTGGCTCCACGAATACTGCCACAGCTGAGGGAATATAAGACAACTAAAAAACAAGTTAGAAAACAGCAGAGCAATATCCAGGCAGGAAAAAAAAATTAAAAACAATGAATCAGTCATCAACTTGAAACCTTTGATCATTTTCCTTTCTTTTTTTCATCCATTTGGAATCTCCATATGAAGAAAAGACTTTTCTGTGCTTGGAGAAATTTTAGTTGAACTAATGGGAGCTGACAGAGTAGTGGGTACCATTCAGAGAACATAAAATTATTTTAAGGAAATCTAATTTTAACTTTCTCCAGTATGAGTACCCATCATGTCATCACTCCAACACAGATAAGAAAGAGAAGAAAGGTGGCAGATTTGGAAGACTTCAGAAAAATCACTGTCATCTTTTCTCAAGTCTTAATAGAACTGTGAAAAAGGAAGACCCAAGAGATTTTCCCTTAGAGACTGTAATAGATAAACAATGAGAAGGATTTCTCATTGCCCAGGAAAATAACACTTAAAGTATGTTTCACTAAGAAGTAGTCAAGATTATGGTTCCTTCTCAACTAATAGTTGTAGTCATCTTGGCCAAAGACAAAAAGAACAACCACTACAGTCACTTTAATAAGTAAATGTTTTCCTGATTGAGCATTATGGAGATGTCAGCTGAAAGTTACAAGGCCTTACAACTCCTCTGTACTGGGGATCATCTGGACACTGTTTTTGAACTCCATAGTACACAGAGAAGAAGTATTCTATCAAAGGAGAAAATGAATGCTAGAAATTTAAATAAGAATCTGATATGGTATTCAATTTAGCTTATCTTTCCTAAAGAACCTGTCCAGTTTCTTCACACCTGCATCTTCTCATTATCTTCTAACTAATATGTGACCCAAGACAAGTATGAATGAATTGAAGTAGCTAATAACTTCAATTAGATGTTGGCCTTCTAGAATCTCAAGTAATGAAGGAAAGACCAAAAGGCTCTGAAGAGGTCATTGCCTTCAAATATCAGGAATGTTCAGTACCAATTATGTGCCTTAAGGTCGAGAGAAAGAAAAAGGATTCTGGTAATTTCTTGAATAAACCTCCAAGAAGAAATTGGTTTCCCAAGTAATAAGCTTCAAATTTGCCAAGGTGCATTCTAGAACAAGGTCTCCTGTTGCTTTTTTTGTACTTTGAGTATAACGAAAAATAATTATTAGCAAGTGGAATTGGAATGATGCTTTGAAGATGAGAAATTTGCATTTTCCAAGGTCACTCTGAAAAGATGACAAGGAGGCAGGATAGAGGGATCTCCAGATTCTAGAAGAGGAACTGATCTGATTTTGCAGTGTATTTGCCTGAATTAGAGACAGCAGGAGCAGAGATAAAGTCATTTGGTCTTCCTTTGGTAGGAACATGTTCCTAAGTCACAAAGATGGAATTCAGGATGAAGAAACAAGTTCTTCTGGCTGCCATCAGTAATATATCTTCTGGTGTTCTTGAACCTGAAGACACAAACTGTTTTGGACCTCTTAAAATATACAATGCCATTAAAATTCTCAGATCTTCTATTACTACTGAGTTTGTAGATACATGTTGGCTAGACACAATCCACTGTTTCCTTGAGTTCATATCATCCCTCATAAACTGGAAACACACTTCTGTTCAGTCTTGCCAATATAATTCCACATGTTGCATCAAAGGAATAAGCCATGATAAAATGGATATTTTGCAGCTTTATCCAGAATCTGCACTTCAGAGCTCTATGGCATTTATCACTGCAGATATGGAAGGGATTGAATGAGAGTCAGAACTGTAAGATCTGAGAAGGAATCATTAGTGTATACTAACAAAGCAGTAGAAGAAAACTCAGAGTCCATTTTATAGAACACATAAAGTACTTTGAAGTCTGTTCTCCACAGCAATAGTGTCTTTCCTGAAATTTGACCAGGTGTTCACTGAGGTGGAAGGAGTAGTAAACTCCAAGCCATGAAAAAAAAAAAATGTACCATATATAAATTAATTCTATGTTGGCCATCTTTATTTATTTAGTTGTAGACATCAATCTTCCACTTATTCCTGCCTGAAATTTTCCTTAATTTTGAAGAGTTTTCAGATAGAACACAACTATCTTCATTATTCTTATTTAGAAATATGTAAGATTAACAATCATGCTCACTTTGCTCTGCAAGGGAATAATATCTAAATAATCTGATTTCAGCTTGTTTGAGACTTGTTCACTCCTCCCACTGTGTATGCTCAGAATGCTCTGTATGGCTGACTCTCCACTTCATATTGATTACTACCCATTTCCTTCCCTGTTAGAAGGCAGAAAAGCAGAGCTGTGAGAGAGTGGGGGTTTTGATATGTTCTATAATCAGTCCTAATGAGTTAGGAAATACCTCAAGAAAACTATGCGATTTTGGAGAACTGAAGGTATTACATTTTGAACAATTAGGGGCCACTTTTGCACTCCCTCCTTTCAATTCTACAACTAAGCAGTGATGCAGAGTTTCTGAAGCCTGTGCCAAATACCCAGGGAAAAAGGCAAGAGTTCTGCCTCCAGCTATTTAGGTAGCAGATAACGTGAGGTTTCAGAAAACCTTTTTCCCTCTAAGGTGAAATGTATCATTTCTGACTTGCAGAAATGATACAAAGAAGCCCCTACAGCCTACAAAGGCGGGTGAGACAAGGAAGAAGCGCTAGTTTTAGAGCATGCCAGCATGACTTACACGATGCTGGCATAGGAATATCATCTTTCTGTATGGTAATTCCTGAGGTAGTAAAAACTGACAATTTTCCAAGAAAATGTAAAAGGACTACTAGATATTCAAAGAGCCCTTCTTGCACAGCTGTGAATGTCAAAGAGACTGACAGAATGAAGCTGCAAATGAGCGGAAACATCTTTGATTTTGGTGTCAGGATGTTGGAAAAGTAGAACTTCATGGAGAAGTGCAGGAAACCAGTCATTAACAAACAACCTCAAGAACTCATTTTTATTTTCCATCAGAGGCACAAAATCATTCTTCAGACATGAAGTCAATGTTTCTAACATGCCAGCAAAGGACAAGGGGGAAAACAAGAATAAGAAAAATACATCACAAGTTGAATCTTTTGGGACAAAGGCAGAAAACCTCCTGACTGGATTGATGAATTGTACAGCTCACACATGGAAGTAATATTTGCAAAAAATTAATGATTATTAATTAAATACATGCAATTGAAATCTATTTGCATTTTTCTTTGAAAATTGCAGAAATATTTTCCCATGATTTCAGAGTAATTTTGTCAATGTTCAGGTTCTGTAGATGATAAAATGATGCTTTACAATGGATCCTAGCTGCAATCTTACCTTAGGACAAACTATTCCATGGTAAAAATGTATAAATTAGAGCATAGATTACTAACACTGCGAATGTGATGAAGGGATTGCAAAAGATTTCATTTCTCATGATTCATTTGTCAGTGTGTCTACTCACAAAAAAAATTTGGATTACCCCTTCTGAGTAGTTAGAGATGAGACTGTGTATTCACAGGTAGATTAGCAAGGCAATGTATTATCAGGCTCCCTCTTTTCAAAAGAGCTGTATCTATGAATATTGCCTTTCACCCATTCTCTCTTTTGATGTTCCTTACTTTTTATTCTTAATTTCAGTATCCATAGGACTCAAAGTCAGAACAGAACTAAACAAAATTTGAGACTGAAAATGTCTTGGGAGTTGAATGTTTGGATTATCCTCACCCACCCAACAAGTTTTACTGACCTTTCAATTTCTGACTTTGCTTATAACATTTCACATCACGACACTTGTTCCTATAATTCTTTATATCATAACTTGTCCTTTGTGGATATTTTAGAGTATATTTGCTTTTAAGGATAGGACCATGACTTGTCTAGATTTCTGTGAGTGAAAAAATGAACATCATCAAGCTGTAGGCCTAGACTCCTGTCAAATATAGACTTGCAACTTTTCATAGGATAAAACTAGGCATACCAACATTAAAGAAACAAATTTGGTATATAAAGGCTATTTTTAGGAAAATCAGTGAATTGCATAGCCCTGAGTACTGATGATTCCTCATAACATGTGTTGGCTGGCATGCTAACTATCAAAAGATTAGTGTTTAGGTTCCCTAAAAAAATATGAAGCTTCAAAATGAAAGAACTGTGATGCTAGATCAAAACAATAATTAATGATTAATACAAAATCTAGCTTGACCCTAGAAAATGTCCTCATTTTTCCACTACCAGCTCATCAGCCCCCTAAAACTTGTGTGTATTCTTAGAAAAGGTGTACATACAACTTACTGCCATTTTAATGACAGATTAGATACAGTGAGTCTCTGAGTTAGCAATGAGAAACACGCTGCAACAGCTGCAAATTTCTCCTAGTGACAGATTAGCCAAAGGCGTGGAAAGAGATACCATACCATGGAAAGAGATACATAAAGGGGCTGTCACAAATGCAATCACTCTTTTCCATGGGTAATATTTTGCTACAGTCTGTGCACTCACTTATATTGTAATCACATAATTTTCAGGAACCACAAGGTATTGCTGGTCACTGTATATATGTGCATTATTCCTATAAATCTTCATCTGAAATTAGGCAGGAGGTGAGGAGTCTATAGACAGAGGCTCTGAAGCGAGACAGGGAAACAGAGCAGTTTTACAGGGCAGTAGTTTCTTCACTGATACATACATCTCCTTAAATAATATTAGGGAAAGCACTTCCTGTACCTAACACACGTCAGATCATCGATTCATCCTATACGTATTTCACATTTCACAGCAGACAAAATAAAAGACAAATTATTTCATGGGATATAACTAGTAGCAGTTTTACATTGTAAAACGTCATTTGAAAATATGCTGCCTTATTAGTTAGTCAGTTAGTGCCTCAGTACTAACTGACCATAGCTACCATACATCCAGCCCATCAGAAACACCCTGGAATAACCTATGCATGATATTTATATGAAGAATCTCTGTTTTTTCCAAATATATATCATTTCAACTGTTGTTTCTGAAAAGCCTGGAGGAGGAAGAAGAA